ACAATATATATATATATATATATCTCTATACTATATATATTATACATCTATATCATGTGTGTTTGTGTGTGTAGTTATGTGTCATATCTAATATATATATACCTCTATCTATTCTTATATATGTGTGTGTGTCTGTCCCCCCACCACCCCACGCCCCTATATTTATATATATGTATATATATGCAGGTCTATACATATACATACACATCACATACACATCACACACACCCCACACGTATATATATATGTCTATATAGACATATACATATACATATATATTATATCTATATATATTTATATTTATAGTATACATATATATATGTGTTGTGTGTGTGCATGTGTGTGTTATTGTCTGTGTATGTGTGGGTTGTGTTTATATATACTATTATCTATATATCTATCTCTATACTATGTATATACACATACTTCCGCCATACACATCACACACACACACACCACACACAACAACACACCCAACACAACACACACACACCACACCACACGACACATATATCTATATACCTCTATATATATCTCTTCTATATCTATAATATCTATATCTATCTTTTTCTCTTCTCTCTCTTGTGCTCATCTCCCCTCCCTCTCTCTTCTCTCTCTCTCTCTACTCTCTCTCTCTCTCTCTCTTCTCCATCTCCATCTTCGATCTCTCTCCCGTTTCTACTCTCTCTCTCTGTGTGTCTCTCTCTCCCCCCTCCCGCTGTCTCTCTCTACTCTCTCTCTCTCTCTCTCTCTCTCTCCTCTCTGTTCTCTCTCTCATCTCTCCTCTCTCTCTCTATATCTCTCTCTATATCTTCTCCCGACCTCTTTGTGTGTGTAATCACTAGAATACCTATATATCCCTGTGTATCTTACTATCTATATATTATATATATATATATATATATATCTAATATATATATATAGTCTGGAAGATCAATTACTGATACAATAAAAAGGGGGATAAGATACAGTTTACAAATTATTCCCAAAAGTCCTAAACTCGCATCTCTAACCCAGAGCGCAAGAAGGCTTCGGCACTGGATTCTCAACAACAGACCACATCCACCTCTCCCCACATAAAAAAACAAAACCAAACAAAAACAAATATGGAAACCCCTCGATGGCATTCATCGATTACGAGAAGGCAATTTGACTCTATATAGTACCAGCGTACTAGAAGCTATCGAAAACAATGGAGTAAGTAAGTATATTGTACAATAATGGAAGATACATACGAGATGGGACAGCAGCAACCACCATCTCCCAACTGATAAAATACCAATTAAAAAAGGTGTTTAGACAGGTGATACATCTCACCCTAACTTGTTTTTACAGCTTCCCCTAAGGAAGATATTCAAGAAGCTAATGAGCGGAGGGGTATCAGAATAGGAGAGATACTTAAACAATCTAGGATTTGCAGAAGATCTTGTTCTTTTCAGTGAATCTGCAAATGAACTGCAGCAACTATATCCATCTGAATAGCGAATGTCCTTAACGGTCCTGACTTGGATGAACAAGAAACAGACTACGATCATGTTCACAGTAGATGTCATCCGAGCTGTAACAAGAGCGAAGCGCAATGCGGTGGACAAGTCTAGATATCCTGAGGGCAACGGAAGAAACACCACATTAGCAAAGATGGAAATTAGCAGCATCGGTCTAGGCGGCAGCACCTGTCGGCAGACACAGAGTTATACGGAGCCCTTTTGCCATTAATGTTTTAAAAAGAAAATTCTTTAACCAATGTGTCCTCCCAGGTATGATCTACGCATTAGAAAACATGTGCTAGAACCAAATTACTGGAGAATGAAACTCAATAAAATGCCCCAGAGAGGGATTGAGAGTGTTGATACTGAAAATAAGCCATGAGATCGGTGAGGGCGTACGTGGATCAAAGAACAGACAAAAAGTGGAAGTATATAATTGGATCATCAAAGAAAAAAGGCATGGGCAGGGTCATATTGGACGTAATAATAAACGAAAATTTGAGGGCCAGCTAATAATAATTAGTAAAATAGTAAATAATATAATAATAATAAATTAATAATAGAGAAACGCAAGATAAAGTTGGAAAAATTGGGAGAGGCCTACGCCTGCATTGATGATGTTTGAGATATGTATGTTGTAATGTGTGTGTGTGTGTGTTTGTTTGTGTGTGTGTGTGTGTGTGTGTGTGTGATGTGTGTGTGCTGTGTGTGTGTGTGTGTGTGTGTGGTGTGTGTGTGTGTGTTGTTAAGGTATATGTACACATCCCATTCATGTTTACATGTAAATCGTATTTGTTTATAGCTAAATATTTTTTTGTGTTGCGTTTTTCGAGGGGAACGTAAATTCTTTATTTCCCGTGTTTCCGTACTAATACGATTCAATAATCATTAATATCAGATACAGGTAATCATATAACATAATCTTTGCTATTTGGCCCTATTTTATTTGATAAATTAGCAAAAGTACTTCGGGGACTGCACAAACTGCAACAAGAACTTGATTCTTATGCCTGTCGCATCAGGGTGGGTTGTTGTGGTCGTGTTCTGCTTCCGCGTAGCCTGGCTCCCTACTTTTCCTCTGCAATGGCTCAGGTTTGCTTATAATTTAGTGTAGGTCGATACTTGCAGTGTCATGAGTATGAAATTGATAAAAGTCTGAGAACTCCGTGTAGCTTCAGATGGAACGGAGGTTAATGTTTTTCTTATCATAATAATGGATGTTTTATAGCCCTTGACGTTATCGTGGCTAATTTGGATGTTTTGTTGCACTTAGTTAGCAAGTGATTTTTTTGATGCTTGTATTTCTCATCTTTCCGTCCTTTAATCTCAGTGATGATAGTATATTTGGTCAGCATTCAGTTGTAAATATAATCATTTGGGACAATATGTAGTGTAAGGTAGTGGCAGAGTTGGGTAATAAAACCTACATGAAATGATAGAACAATACAAACCAGACAAAGTTCTTCTTGGCAGTATGTGTGCAAATTCGTCCCAAGGGTGCTAGGTATATATATTACCACACTGGTGGTCCAGGAGGCGAGCCCCTAGCTAGGGAAGGTAACCACGTGTTTGGTTAGGTTTGGATTTTGGTTAGGTCCGTTTGTTTAACAACTACGGGGTGCTGTTTATCCCATAATCTCCCTGATATACTTCATGCCCTCCTCTGCTATCGGGGCTATCAAATCAAGATTGTTGATGGAAAATAGTGATCTTGAACTTTTTCAACGATTCATTTGTACAATGAACAATGCCGAGAATTGTTGAAAACATTGGATTTCATTTCAGAAAAATATCAAAATTGTTTCGAAAGTAATCCACTAACCTCTTCTACTTTGAACCGGGGGATCTTCTTCTTTCTTTTAGTATCACACATCGTGGAAGCATTTGATCACATATTGCCATGAAGAACTTTGTCTTGGTTTAATGTTCTAAATCTTTCATGTTAGGGTTTTTATTACCCAACTGCCCTTTTGACAGTAGACCTGTCAAAAGGATTGTTGAAGGCATGCTTTACAGTCGAGGCCGTTGTTGTCTGATCTTCAGCCATTTGCTATAACATTAAGCATAGGCCTTCCTTTGTCATGAGATGAAACTTGATCTTCGCAGTCGACTCTTGATTTGAAATTTCTGTTGATAATAAGAGAATAACTTGGAATTATTTTCTAAACAAATCTAAGAAGAGAGATAATACAAATAACGTAGATCATCAATTAACATTTTGTTCTTCATAATGGTACATGGCCAATCAAAACTTTCAATAAAATTAATTTACTGTTTTATTCCTTGTAACCAATACATCAGGCTAACGCCAATGTATCTTTGTCTTTTTTATTGTTCTATTTAAAAATCTTGTACCTTACATTGAGAGTAAATGATGGTCTCTAGTATGTCTAATGATGTTATTTCATGTTATTTAACAGAGCAAGTGCTGGAAGCTCTAGTAGCAAAATACTGAACTTTAAGGCTCGCTTAGCAAAAGCTGCACACAAAGAGGGTGTCAGATGTGACTTTTTTTAGCCCTTGTGATTTCTTTCTTTTCTTGTCCGGCTTGTCGCGCTTCCGCTTGTTTATTTTCTGCTCTTTGCTCCTTCATCCTACGACTGATGGATATCTTGTTTCGTTTTCCTTTCCCTTTTATTTTTCGTAAAGGGACCATTTTATAGTTTATGTTATTATTATTATATGTATAAATTTTATTCCTTATTTATGGTTTTAGATATACTCATTGAAATGTGTTACCATTATGAATACTTACGTTTTAATATTTTTAAATGTATAGCAACGCCTGTTAACCAAACTGCCAGGCCTATGCCAACAAGAGAAAATGCATCTCTTCCCGAATACAAAGTATTTTGGACATTGATCAAGATGAGGTTTCAAGAATATTGTTAGCCATGCTCGGTACCTTCTTGGCATTACAGACAATAATGATCAACATTAAAAGAAAATATCAATAATATTTAAAATCCTTGATAATAAATTGGCCGTGATCAAAATATTAACATATTAACAAAGTTAATATGGATTGTTCTTATCTGATAAAGAGCAATTATTATTATGTTTCCTTTAACCTTTTTAATAGCATAGTAACTATAACTACTATGACAAAAAATACCTAGAATGTGGTAATGATAATATAATATTATTACAACAGTGTAAAGAAAATAATAATATGGTAGTAATAATGGTACTAGTAAGTATAAGGGTAGTAATACTAATATGATGAGATAATAATTTGATTATGATTAATGATTATAATGATTACATAACTATAGTTTGCAATAATAAAATGCTGCTGCTCATGTATGGTCTGACTTTTGATATGCTTATCTTACTCATGATCATCCAACAAGAACCATATAAGACAATTATCACCGGAGAATGCATGCTGATCTACTCCCCTGGCTGCCTGCTGCTCCTCCCTCTGCTTCTCCCTCCGCCTAGCTCCTCTCGCGAGCGCAACCAAGAAGCAAACGGGAGTGCGGCAACAAGTTGAGGTTAGAGTACGAAAAAATGAAAAGGAGACAACCCGGGGGGAAAGAGAGCCGTGGCCCAAGGTATGAAAACGGCGAGAAATTATCGAAATGCTAGGTCGGCAGGAGTAAGAGGCCGGTTAAATCAGTAGGAGGAAAAGGTGGGGGGGCTGCAAGGGGAAAGGTAACGGGAGTGGTGATCGGGGGTATTAGCGGAGGTAGCAAGGAGTAGGCGGGTCGAGCGCAGAGGAGGGGAAGCAGGGAGGCGGATAAAGGTAACGGGAGGGATGGGAATAGAAAGGGAGGGGGAAGAATAGAGGCGGGAACAGGGGGGGGAGAAGGGGAGGAAGGGCGAAATAGTAGGAAAGCGGAACATAGAAATAGAAAGATGGAGGGGGAGTGGAAGGGTAGGAGGGAGAAGTTAGGGGGAAGAGGACAGGAGTGACAGTAGAGGTGATAGCGGGAGTGGTAGAAAAAAGAAGAGTAAGACAGGTGAGATAAGAAAGGATGGGAGAGGGGAGGAATGGAGGGGGGTGAAAAAGTGGGGGGGAATAGGCAAAGTAAATTAGGAGACCAGGGGGGGGGAGAAAATAAGGGAGTGCCAATACGAAAGTGGGGGGTGGAGTAAGGGGAGTAGAGGGTAAAAGGCGCACAGCGGCAAGGGGGAGGGGGGATAGAAGGCAGGGAGAGAAGAGCCATCCATTGGGGTGCTACTACGCGTCATCCTCTCTAACTCCTGCCCCTGCTTCTCCTGCTTCTGCTCCTCCGGCGCCGGTTTCTCCTCCCTCCTGTCACATTCCTCCTCAATGCTACTAATAAAAGTGATAATCATGAATCATGCTATCTACTGTATTCTGATAATGCTGATCATAACCTACTACTACTAACACCAACTTCACCAAAATAACACAATAATAATGAAAGTAAATAAAGATTATAATAATAATAATAATTCATAATAGTACTAGTAATAACATTAAAAATAAAACAATAATAATAATGAAAGTATAAAGATTGATAATAATAGAACCAATTATAACAATAATATTATACAATTTTAGGAGTTTATATTTGCCCATTTGTACAATGGTTACACTTGCACAACTGTCTGGTTCATTTTGCTTCAAATTACCCCCTGTGGTCAGGAATGGTTTTTTTTTTGGTGTAACAATCCACTGCAGTGTATGGGAATTGTAATTAGGTCATCACGATTGCTGGACAAGACCAATAACCATTGCACCACACGTAATAAAATTGCTATTTTTATACATTATGTATTGTACTGATAGGTTTTTCTAAGGACATTCAGGAGAGTATGAGACAATGTATAGTGATTCTAAACTGTACTTGATTTTATTTCTTCAGTTCGACTCGATAAGCATTATTTTATAGTTGAAATAAGAAGTATATATAGCATAATACTTAGTATGTCTTCACTTAATACGCACAGACAAGAACAAATAACATAAAAACCATATGCAACGGAATATTATATATAAGGAAAATACAAAGACTCCTCTTTTTTGGGAAGCCTGTTTACCATAGAAATTCTTTGGAGATGCTATGTGCCATACCTTCATTGCTCTGACTCATGTATTCACGCCATTCAGCCACACGTGGCAAGAATAGAGCCATACACCACTTTGATACACACGCTTATTTATTGGTATTACACATAGATGGCTTCTACAAGTTTTAATCACCAATCTAGCCAGTTATCAAGAACTATCAGAACTTACCATTTCACATTCACCTGTTTTACCTTTTCCTTCCACTTTTAGGAAAGGGTTTGTTTATCATATCTCATTATCAAAAATATTCTAATGACAGTTCAAATAATCATAACTTCTTACCATAATAAAACAGTAACCAAAAGAAAGGGTATTAATTTTTCCCGCCATTCAATAATGGGCAAATCAGGGTCGGTAACTAGGGCCTACTGATAGAACTTCTTGCCGGATGATCACATGTGGACCATCTGTCCTGTAACAAAATTCACCTAAAACTACAGGGGACAGAACATAAACTCCGTGGGTTAACCATCCATGTGGGGATACTATATTATTGATGCTCTATTATTTTTCTTATTACTCAGAATTAGGCTGCAGCTTCTGAACCACAACGAACGTGTTGAAGAAGGAATCGTCAGAAACAGAAATGCCCAAAACTATGCAAAGAGAGAGAGAACGTTTAGTAGCATGAATTTTGAAGTAGGAGTCAGCGTAGAGAAGCCTTTTATGCAACAGGTAAAGATACTGACCTTTTTTTCTTCTGTTTTTTATTGGTTTGGTCATTGAGTTTTTCATACTGAAATGTACTATTTATTTTATTTATGCCAAATGTTTAAATATTACCCATTCGCGACTGGGACACTGAACAAACACTTGGAAAAAAGCTTGCTCATGTTTTTTTTTCTTGGAAATACTCTCTTACATTAGAATATGTGTACTATGTAATGCCATGATGCCCACTGTGAGTACGTGTTTGATCGTTTTTACAACACAGATGGCTACAATTTGTACTAAGTCCCCCAATGAGGCAATTACGAATGCTGTCCTGTCTCGCATGTTTACCCTTTTTTTTTTTGCTTTTATTTATGAAATATTTTACGTTATCTTATTGTGCTGTTACAAATGTTTATAACATAAAGTAATTGTAAAGTTAATAATAGAAATAACAAACCATCGATATTCATGGCACTAGTAAAAAATGCATTTTCCTCCCGCCAATTCAATTGTTTGAAAAGGGAGTTAGGTCGTATATTGAGTTCTTTTATTGCTAAAGCCTAACAGATCATCTATGTGAGAGACATCCCCCCAAAAGGATATAAAAAATGAGCACAATATGTTCCATTTTTTTTTAATTTTCGGCCCAGGCGGGAAACTTATATATATATATATATATATATATATATATATATATATATATATATATATATATATATATATATATATATATATATATATATATGTATATAGGTAATATATCTATCCTCTTCTCTATATCTCTCTACTCTCTAATATCTACTATCTCTATATATCTATATACATAAATAGTCCCCTACTTAAGAACATTCTACTTACGCACATTCCGTTCATACAAACTTTTTAAAAAAATACTTAAGTCAAAAAAATGATTCGAAAGATGCTAGCAAACTTCAAATTCCCCAGGCGCGAATATAGTTTACGAGTCTGCCACGCCGTGGCGCCGCCGCGCTCACTCAGCTGTGCCATCACTCGACTGCTCTCCCGCCATAAACACGAAAGCATCTCTTCACTGTGTCCTTGTGTACCGACATTTTTTGTGCCATAATTCGCTTTACCTGTGCATCCATCAAAAATGTCTGGTGTGAAGAGAAAGATAAACGGTGAAACCAGTGGAAGTGCCAAGAAACATCAGGCTATAACTTTAACGATCTTATCAATCGGTTCGCCAGCCAGTCACCACTACAATGTATTTTCTTTTTGAATAAAAAAAATAAACCATCAAATAATATTAAAAGCATTACATAATACAGGTACTGTATAAGGTATGTTGTACTTATTCGGATTTATGTACAGGTATTCCTAATGTAAACAAAACTTTAAATCAATGGGGAAAAAGGCAATGGAGACCCGACTTTCGACATACGGTCAAATCGACTTCCGAACAGCCTCTCGGGCCCCATTATGTAAGTTGGGGACTTACTGTATATATATATATATATATATATATATATATATATATATATATATATATATATATATACATATATATATATATATATATATATACATATACATATATATATATATATATATATATATATATATATATATATATATATATATATATATATATATATATAACTTAATAATTACTATAATGTTATAAACATTATTAATAGCAAAATAAGATAATATAGAATTATAAATCAAGGAAAAGGGTAAATAGTACATGTGTAAAAATAAACAAGTAAACTCAGTGGGCATGGCATGTATGTATATGCCATGCCCATTGGCATTGAGTTAAAGGGATAAAAGCATATAAAAGATAGATTATATTTTTTTAAGAGGTAATACAAAGAAAAGATACATAAATAATGTCAGAAGACTACCGTCATTTTTCTGTTGCGAAAATGGACTGAGAAGAGTTCAGAAATACATTGTAATCATTTCTGACTTTAATCAAGACGAATAGCAGTATACTAGGTCTTTTAGTAATATGTGCTGATTCCTTTCTATTTTATCTCATAGTTATTGTAATCTGTGAACATTACCATGTAATACTGAAAATTGCCTTTATAGCTGGATATGTTTATGGGTCTATAATAGCTGATATGATTTTATTTAGTCTTTGCAAAACATATAGGAAGAAATAAAAAAAAAAAAACTTTTTTCTCTCTCTTCCAGGGTAAAGACTATGACCGTCTCAAGATGTTGGAAGTTGGAGCTGATGAGGCTGAACGTTGGGAGAGAAGAAAGAAGAAAAAGAACCCAGACCAAGGTTTCTCTACCTATGAAGATGCTACAATTAGGTATGGGAAATATGTTATGTTTAAATCTTCCTTTTTTTTTATAATGGTATTTGATGTACCAGTAGCTGTAAAATATTCTTTAAATTACTTCTCATATGTATTTTTTTTGTTGCTGTGCATTGCAGACTGCTTCACCTTATATTAGCTGTTAGCTAATGGATAATTCTGTTGATCATTAAAAAGTTATCTTAAAAATTGAAAGGTTTCTCAAACACTTTAAAAAGTTATGGCAAATAATACAGCAAAACTTTGCTTCACTTTTTTTTCACTGGCTTTCAGACAGTACAACCGTTTGGTAAAGAACAGGAAGATAGACTTAGAAGAGTATGAAAGAGAAAAAGAGGCAGTGGGGGAAGATGCATTCTATGGAAGGGACAACACTATAGCTATTGGGCTTCACAAGGATTCCAAAGAAGCTATTGATGGTATGGTAGATGATCTAGAGAAACAGTAAGTATTATGCAGTTTGCATTTATCTTTTAAAGTTTTGTAAGAGAAAGTAGTTAGACATATAGATATGTTGAGTATATTATTCCTTAACCCAATCACTACAGATTTGCATATGTATATGTATATGTGTATGTGTATATGCTATCCCCAGTATTTTTTTGTGAATTTTGTTACATACAGATGGCTCCTGATGTGATTGCTGCTGATTGTGGGAAATTGTTTTTTTTCTTCTAATACTATTGATATCTATCAATATTGTTATTATTCTTACTGATACATAACCCATTTTGCGCCGGGTGTCACATATATGTGACATGCCCACTGCGAATTTACTTGTTTAATTGTTTTTATTCATAGATGGCTACACTTGCACTTGTACATCCTGTCTCACCCGTTTACCCTTTTATTTAATTTACGATAATATTTAAAGTTATCTTATTTTGCTGTTACTAATGTTTATAACATAGTAATTATAATGTTGATACTCGAAATAACCATCGATATTCATAGTACTAGTAAAAAATACATTTTCCCGCCAAATGAAATCTGGTAAGGCAGAGCCATTTCACAAAAAGTATAAAAAAATGAGAACGGCATTTTCCCCATTTTCTGGTTCATTTTTACCAGTTGTGAATGGGTTAAAGTCATAGTAACATTAAATACAATGAAATTGTACAAAAACTCAAAAATCAAAGTAAAGGATAAACACATGAGATAGGTAGGACTAATAACTAACTCCTTTATGACTAAGCACTTGTAGAGTCGTCTATGTGTAAATACAATAAATAGACTTGTGTTACAGTGGGCATGGGATGTATTCTTATCGTCTGTGCCGATTGGATTAATATATGTGGATTATCTCACAATTGTGTCAGTGTATTAAGCATTGCATTACACATATTATTTGTCAGAAGTTGCTCTGTGGAAAAAGTTAACAGATGGATTAAGTTGATGGTGGCCAATAACAGCAAACAGAGAAACTGATAGTATTAAAAGTGTTTCTTACTTGTGACATAGCTAGCTACTTGGAAAGAAAAATGAAAAGAAAATGAAGGGTGAAAAATCTTGATGAGTTTGGGCTTCACAGATCACTTTAATTCACTTTCTGAGATACAACTCGTTTGCTAGTTTATGTTTTTTGAAGAAAAATACAGTCAGCAAATGTTTTATTTGTGTAAACCCTTCCTAAAATTTTTGCAAAATGCCAATATTTTTTCATGTTGACCTTGCCATTAGCATTCAAAACACTAAGTAAACCAGTTACATGTATATATAACAGATATGCTATATATATATATAGATAACTTGATTACCCATTGCTGATGGGCATGCCATGCCATGCCCACTGTGAGATTACTTGTTTGTTTTTACACATAGATGGCTACACTTGTACTAAGTCACCAATGAGCCAATTTTGAGTACTGCCTGTCTCACCCATTTACCCTTTTTGTTGATTTACAAAAATATTTTGTTTTCTTATTTTGCTATTACTAATGTTTATAACATAGTAATTATAATGTTTATAATAAAAATAACACTATTAATATTCATAGCACTTGTAAAAAATACATTTTCCCGCTAATTCAAGGAAAGGTGAAATCAGGTAAGGCAAAGCACTAGCAGAGCCATCTATGTGTAGAAACATTTCACAAAAAAATATAAAAAATGAGCACAGCATTTTCCCCATTTTTTATTCATTTTCCCCGGCGGCAGTGGGTTAAGATAAAGATTAGAACATATCTATGTTTATTTGATTTCCTTTCATTCCAGGATCTCTAAGCGAGAGAAATACTCACGCCGCCGTATCTACGATGATGATGCTGACATCAACTTTATCAATGAGCGTAACATGAAGTTCAACAAGAAGCTGGAGAGATTCTATGGTGACTACACTGAGGAAATCAAGCAGAATCTAGAACGTGGAACAGCTGTGTAATTCTTTAGATGTTTCATGCCTGTTTTACAGTGGATACAAATTAACAGAAAAAGTATGTTATTGTAGAAGTTCATGGTGGATTTCAGTATCTTTTATTTTTATATGTTATTTTATGTCATTGTCATTAGGTTTTCTAGAATGTATCACTTAATTAGGAACATAATCAATAGTTTATGATGTTTTTTTTTGTTTTTTTTTTTCTTCTTTTATTTCCATTTTTCTCTGTATTATCAATAGTGATAATTATAATCTTGACTGAGAACTTTGACTGTTGTCAGTCAAAACAGAGAATAATATTTTGATTGAATAAAAGAAATTATTATTATTAACCATATTTTTTATGTGTGAAATAGGACTATGTTAAGGTTTCACAAATGATAAAATGATAAAGAAAAAAGCCTCAAGACTCAAGGAACTAATGGAATTATTACAATTACCTGAAAGTATTCTGTAATTGATAATGGTTTTGTCTTTTTATTATGTATTCAGACTTGACTTGTTTCTGTGGATTCCTGTTTGTTTCTGGATTTCAGGAAAATTTGTGAAATAGATACAATATATTTTGCATTATTTGTAATTCAAGAGAGTGTGTGTGTGTGTTTGCATGTGAGTGTGAGAGTGAGAGTGAGTGTGAGTGTGAGTGTGTGAGTGCAAAGTGTGAATGTGAGTGTGAATGTGTGCATGCATGCATGCATGCATGCATGAGAGAGAGGGTTAATAAGATAGTGAAAAGTGAGAGAGAGAGAGAGAGAGAGAGAGAGAGAGAGAGAGAGAGAGAGAGAGAGAGAGAGAGAGAGAGAGAGAGAGAGAGAGAGAGAGAGAGAAAAGAGAGAGATATGATCTTTATTGTACATGAAGATTGAAATTAATAAATTTTTAAAATGATAAAACACAAATTACCATATTTTCTTCAAAATTTGTCTTGTTCTTAGCATGATACTTGCCACTTTAATGGGCTGACAGTACAAATTTGTAACTTCTCAGTGTGTCATTTTTATAGATTTGTTGTGAATATTTTTTGGTTGATAACAATGTCCATGTTTTTTTTATCATAGTTTTATCGTTTATTAATTTGCTTTATCATCAAAGCTCTTGGGAGTGGAACTTGTGTGAATAATAAAGTGGAACTTGTATGAATATATTTTCTATCAGAGTTTGTTTTAGTGTGCTTTAAAACCAAATTCAAAGTAAAAAAAAGAAGTAAGAATTGTTTAATAAAGGTAAAAAAATTCCAAGCCTTATAGCTTGGAAACATGTTATGTTATAGGTAATGCTCATTTTGTTTATCATATTAACACAATATTCAGGAAACAGTTCAGCTTTACCATGTAGTATGCTTACATAAGCGAGTGAGTGAGGGTGTGTACTCAGGAGAGAATGCTAGTGAGAGAGACAGAGACAGACAGACAAACAGACAGAGGGAGAGACAGACAGACAGACAGACAGAGACAGAGGGAAAGACAGAGAGAAAGACAGAGAGAGAGAGAGACAGACAGACAGAGGCAGAGACAGAGACAGAGACAGACAGATACAGAGAGAGAGAGACAGATGTAATATACTGGTGGAGAGATAGAGAGAGAGAGAGAGAGAGACAGACAGAGACAGAAAGAGAGAGAGAGAGACACAGGCAGAGAGAGAGAGAGAGAGACAGATGTAATATACTGGTGGTGGACTTATCCCACCTGCTGCCACCGGTGTTTCTTGAAGTGAAGTGGTGTTGAGTTAAAGTTGTCATAGTTTTCACATTTTATTTCATGGGAATATGGTAGGTGGTGTACAGAGGTCAGGCGTGGCAGAGTCGCCCTGTGAGGAGCGAGGCCTCTTCCCCCCCCCCCCCCCCAATCCCTTGCCGGTTGTTGTCGTGGGGGGGCCTAGGAGGCGGAGACTGGGACGCAATGATGGGGAACTCCCCAACCTTGGGACTCAGCCCTCGACTCAACTAATTTTTTGGTCTTTTTTCCCTTCCTACTTTTTCGTTTCTGTCCCTTCACCAATCCCTTCTACTATGCACCTCCTAAAGTGTGAGAGCCGTGCTGAAAGGATGAAAGGCTGACTTTTTGCCAGTCCTGAATGGCCTGAGGGAGCCATGGGCACGGTATTCCCCTGATTTAGTTACCTAGCCCTTACCCCTCAAGGGGACCCTGAGGGGTGGACTGTTTTTATCCCCAACATACTCCAGGCTTACCATGGCCAATCATGAAGATGTAACTCCTCTATTAGGGGCAATGGGTCTTGCCCCTTTATCAAATAGCCCCAACGATGCAAACCCTCCCGATTCCCTGACCCCAGGCTCTCCTTTGACCACGGCTCAGAACACTGCAACAACTACCCCCTCATCAATGCCTACTAGTACAGTAGTCAACAATCAACCCTCAAGAGACATTTCCATTCTCCCAACATGCTCAGCTTCAACACCTCTACCTCCACAACTTTGAACATCAACTACCCCATTCTCCCTTATTAATACCTTACAGCCTTATTGCCCACTCCTCCATAACACTAACCGTAACACTACTCTCCCTCACACTACTCTACTATCCCCCGCCACACTCCCAACGCCCCCGGGACACGCCCCCTCTCGTTCTACTCCTGACCCTATCTCTACAACAATCTTAAATACCTATTTACGCGCAGCCAAATGGGACCGATTTTTCGTGATCCTATCCCACAAGCTAGCTACCTTACTCTTACAACACCGCTGTCTTGGCTCCAAAATGTCCCTATTCAGATTACTTAATGAAACCGACACTCACCTACACTCCCTGTCCTTCCCACACTCCAACTAATTGCTGATATCCATGCCTCCTCCTAACGATTCCCCCCCTACCCACCTAGAGCACCCTCCTTACCCCCCGGGGTGACAAACCCTACCCTCCTACCGCACCCACGGGAGAGTCGCCCCTCACCAACCATCCCTCCCCCCCTACCCCCGATTACCCCAACCCATCCCACATATAACCTCTCCCCCCTATCACCCCCTATCCCTTCCACTCCCTCTGGATACACACGTGAATCCTCCAGTCCTTATCCACCCTCTAAGAGCTGCTGTCCCCTTTCAAATTCTCCAACACGACTACAATCTATATCACTAAATGCAACGAAAGTATAACATCCTTCATTGGAATATTCGCGGTTTCCTGCTCCCACAGACTGACCATCATATCCTTTCCTCTAAACATCATCTACTTGTATGCCTTCCAGAAACCTTTCTAATGCATTATCCGGTTATTAATAACTAACCACCCGGCATAACTCCTTTTCATTAACTAAGGCCTTTAGGCCCAGCTTAGACAAACTAATCACTAGACTCAACAAACCCTTCATTAACATACTATTAGTGCACATGACTTCGATGTCTAGCACATTATCTTGCTTTTAACCATTAACCATAACCATTCCACATGTCTCCAAAAACAAGTAGGCAAAGTCTTTTTCCATTAGCCGACCCGACCGCTCCCGTTCTCGTCCAGTAACCTCTGAATTCCAAGATATAGCATTACAAAAAATAACTGATTATATGTAAGCCCCATCCTGCAGGAACCCCACCAACCCTCAATATGCACATGGAAACTGTTTTCTATCTCCCCAGCCAAATTGCCCAATCTATGACAAAGATTGGTTTCAGATGTGGAGAAACTTACTCGAATTGTCTTCACAAGGACTATGATGCCGAATCAGTACAATTGCTACTCCCATTCCCACCAGAGGTCATCAAAAAGAAACCCACTAACATTGCCAAATTACCTTCGTAGACATGACCTTCCCTTTAAAGTTAATAGGTGGAGAATCCCTCCCTGTTCGTCCATACCAACTCCACGTCAGTTGCTAACATTGGGTTGGGTTTAGGACACCCAGCTAAACATTGCGCTCCACACGCTAGATTCCACTAGTGCCAACTCGATAAACTGCTACTGACACATCCCGCGCACAGTGCAAATGTGGTGGGCCCCCATAATGTCTTTTATAGGGGCGTTCCCACCTACAATTTGAATATGACATAGGAGCAACTCTCAGATTCAAAACTTGGACTCATTACTACGTGAGCAAGACAGGAAGCAGTCGACGTGGATTCTTCTTACTCCTTTAATCCAGTTAGAATATTGCTCATTCTACCCCTTCTAAACCCACCCCCCTCCATCAAATCCCTTCTTATACCTCCAACCATTTCCCAGTCAAACTCTTGCAATCCTAAAATCCAGGGGAAACTATAATCATACTACAGACACTCCTATCTCCAATACAACCCCAACACCTTCCCCTCATAAGACCGTACTACTCGAACGATACAACAGAAACGCAGAAGAAGACAAGGAACGTTCCAAC